AGACTGCGAAGGTCCTGTGGAATTTTAAAGAATTTGGGCAGCAAAGCTGGAAATTTTGCTGTTTATTGAAATAGACACTAAATAATGGGTGTGTGCTCTTGGAATAGTGTGTATTTAGCTTTGGGGACTTAAATTTCCGTGATGACAGCATGATTAGCCCGCTTTTTTAAGGTGGAGGAATTCTGTATGTATTGACAAATATAACTTGACACTTAATGGCAAGAACCGATTCCAGTATTCCTGGAAGGCTCTAGTTAATGCACTGCTTCAAGTTTTAGAGAGAGATGGGTTTGAAAGTAAGGTAGTTGAGAGCAGGGTGGGCTATATAGGTGTTGCATTTCTGTTGATCTTCTGCCGCAGGTAGAACTACTACTCATTGTCCTTGAGACGTTGTTTTTAATATAGTGCTTGCATAAAATGTAACATGTTTATATATGTATGTTTATAACATGTAAAAAAAAAAAAAACAAACTTTTTTCGTATAGTGCTTTCTGGGGGCTGTATATCTAGTCTGAGTGAGAATGTAAACAAGCTTAGTATATGAATAATGTAGAGGGATGAAAGATAACATTGCTAGAGCTCTCACTGAGGCTACTGCATTTAACACAGTCTCAATAAGAGGTACTCTTTTTATTGCTATTAATAGTTAAACATGATTGATGTATCTTGACCTTTACAGTGTTATATATGTGCCTCTGCAGTTGAGAAGTTAAGCTGAAACTCCGTCTTCAGCTTTTTCTAAACTTTTCTGAACTGACTTTAAATGATAATTTTTCTTTTAATCCTCTCCATGATCTAATCAAACCAGTATAATTAATGAAGGCAACTGTAAACTACTATAGTTAAATTTTTTCCTGTCTCGTATCTTGGAGTGGTCATAATGTACAGGGTATATTCTCTATTTTGGATCAATACCAGATGAACTCATTTGCTTGCAGCAGTTAGAGTGAAATAGTGTATTTAATTCTAAAGACAGTATTAAAGTAGTTAAAACCTGAAGTCTGATAGTACTGAAATAAAATAGGACAAACAGGTAACAGAAATGGGAGGAAGATAATAGTGTAGTGTACTGTCCTGCAACAGCCACCAGGACAAATGCAGGCTTACTCTTTTTAACATCGGCTTTTTTTGCATATGTAATAGATATTTCAAATCCTTATTTATTGCTGTTTGTGGAGTAGGATGTTTTAAATCTACGCTACTGAAAGCAGGAGTTAAGACTGGTATTACAGAGTCTGATTTAGATTTTTTTATTTTTGCATTTCCATTACTACAGTAGCAAGAAGCTTAAAGTGGGCATCTTTCCTAGAAAGATGTATACAAGCATTTAATTTGTTTTATGTACTTCTGCAAACTGGAATATATTTAGAGCATATGTCTTCGAGCTGAGTTTTAGAGATTTAAAGGAGGAATAAAGTTGTTTAAAGAGCAGTGGAGTTTACTTCAGGAGATAAAAATTCAATTACAAATCAGTAGCCATTATAGTTCTTCCAGGTGAGAAGAAAGGAATGACCAGACTTCTGTAGTTGCTTGTGGATCAAATGGTAGTATGTAGCAAATGAGCGTCTGTGGTGGCAACCATTAATTTGCGAAGGACTAAAATGTTTTGCATTTTGAGCTGTTAATCTTAAGGCTCTTCTGAGTTTTAAGATAAGCTGATGGGGCAGTAAGAGAAAGCTTATTGCTGCTGTGTTTAGAGACAGACCAACAGTGGTGTCAAATCTGCCATTTTCCATATTTTAGAGAGACAATTGTCCGGAATCACCACATGGGAAGTTATAATGTCCCTTCTGATGTTTCTTCAGAATAAGCCTGACGTTACTGCATTTGGCTGCTGGAACCCAATATCAAGTCACTTAACTGTAATTGGATTTGTTAGCTGCTCCGGTAACTGATTTATACATTAGTAGACTGAATGAGCAGGTTCCCTGCAAGAGTTTGTTTTAATGTCTGCTAGATTGTAATAGCATGCAAAGATACAGAAGCAACTTCAAACAAAGTACACTTTTTGTCAAAAATGTAACTCAGGTGATCATAAGATAAAAAATAACTATTGAAGATTCCTGGATTTCCACTCTAGTCCCTGGATGGCTCTTGGAATTTTCCATTCTTTCTGTGGTCAGATTAGAGCATGCTGCCCATACTGATTCTGTGTTTATTATCGTACAGCCATCAGGTGAGTTGCTTTTTGTAAAGTTGGTATCTTAACAGGCACGTGATGTTAATACATCTTTTTTCAGCTTTGCAAGAATACTCTGTTATTAAAAATAAAGATTAGAGCTGAGATCATAGTCTTTGACTACGAATGTTATTGTCTTCACAGGGAACCTTTTTGTCTTGGTCCATGTCTTTTCCCTGTTTGATTTCTTAAACAAAACTGAATGAAATATAGGAAATTCAGACCTGAGTAATACTACAGACAAAAAAGTAGGATTGTCATTAATAAAAATACACACTAAACTCATTTGAAGACTGTAGAGAAATGAAAAGTGTTCGAAGTGACAACCTATTTTTTCCTTTATCTGCCATTTCTTAGTTTTATACCTATAAAGCTTCTTTAATATTTTAGTCATTATATAGTTTGAAGTAATGATTGTTGAAATATGCGTGTATGCTTACAGAATCACTTTTACAGCAGCAGATACATGTTCCAAACGCTGCAAGCACTGAACTCTGTAGTATTCTTGCCATGTTTGTTGTACCTTTAAGCTTAGTAAATTACAGAATTGAGGGGGAAAAAGAGTCCTGTATAATTCTGCCTTTGATTAGTGTCTGGTGTTGCAAAACCATATGATAATTTAAAAATAAATCTTAAATAGGTTTCAGGAATAAATATGAAAATGTAGACTATCACATTCTACTTACAGTAATTTATCAATTTTCAAGCTTTTCTAGTATGTAAAAAATTATACAAACTTGGTGAAATAGCTGAAACTCTCTCTCAGTGAAACTGCCACTTCTTACACTATTCAAGAACAAAGTTCTATTTAAAATATATCAGACTAATGAAGCCGCATTTTTTTAAATCACTACCAGAACACCTAGCACCTTAGATCTAAAATGTTTCAAAGGCTTTCTTGATGTTTAAATGGCATCTTACTTAAACAGGAAGGGAAATGTCTCACATTCTTGTTTTTGTTCTTTTTTCAAGGAAAAAATTTATACACAAATGAATATGTGGCAATTAAGCTGGTAAGTTGGTTTTTTTTAGGATTTGGGATGAGAAACTGATCAGAATGTTCTTTTCATGTATAATGGTTTGATTTCCATAATCAAAGTCCTTAACAGTCTTGTATGTTTTAATCTGACTTCATGAAAACTGTTAGTGATACATGTAATTATGTGCTTTGGCCGTGTTGAATAGAACCAATGTTAATTGTTGTCACTGTTCTCAAGGCTAAATCTATGTTTATAAAGTTGACGGTGATTGGCTGCTGCTTCAAGGATACGCTCAGCAGTCGTCTTACAAATAGAGGAACACCAGATTCCATGTGAATCTGACAGAAGGTGACTACAGAGAAGATCCAGAAATTCTGCAGACTGCCTGTATTTTAACACCCTTATTCCTGCCCCGAACTGTTTTTGATCTGTATTCATTGGTATTTGCATATCTGTTTTGGTAGACATGTTTTATTTGCAATGATGTATAAAATATTTTCTTCACTTACAAAGTTGGTAAATTTCGATACTTTGTTAATATGTCATTGTTCTGCTTTTCTGACTTTTCATCACAACTACTTGGTTTACTTAATGTTTTGCTTCTTTTAACTTCTTGGTAAATGACTGTTTTCATAAGCAAAGTATTTCAAGATGAAATTCAGTTGTTTACTTGTCATTGAAGGAATTTTAGGAGTCTCATTAATTGTTGCTGCAGTAGGACAGAACAATTTTCATTGTGTAGTACAGTGAGTTTCTGGTTCCACAAAATGAAAAGGTGAACTATGAAAACAGAAATACGTAGCTTTAGATGGGGAATCTAAAAAGCATTACAAATGTATGTAATAAAATGGTAAGTATTTATATCACCATCTTTGCTTAGAAAGTACTTACTTCAGGAGTAGTTACACGTTTGAAAACATCCAAGTTATGGTTTGGAAGAGCAACACTGGATGCAGTTTTGAGGGTTATCGTGTGTGTGTTATACCAGATTTAAATTAATTTTGTTTTAAAATATCTTGAACTTACTCTGTATGTCTGGTAAAACTTGCAAATGGTCTGAGAATTCCTCTAGTTAAAGGCTGTTTACAAAATCAGAAACATTTTGCAGGATGTGATTTTTTTTTTTTTT